TACAAGGCACCATGGGTGTGCTGACCTTAGCTGTGCTGGACTTCACATTTGACACCCGAGACAATGAAGCAACAGGAGAAACACAAAGCAGCGTAAAACAGAGAGAGGGAGACGTAAGAATTAACAAGCAGTCATCCCAGCATGATAGGATCTGTGAAGATTATGAGATAAAAAGTCCATGAGCTAGTTAAGTTTGTCCCCACTTCACTTTGCAACCTGAAGCACTATTACTACATTTGCTTCAAATGTACTGTCAGAGGGCAAACTTTTCATAAAAGATTTGACTAGATGAACATGGCTTTTAGATGCATATAAAGCATGCAGCATTTAGCTTCACACTGATTATAAAAACAAGTGCTATCCAGCTACATTTTTTTTTTACAAACAATAATTTGTAAAATTATTAATTAAATAATTATTTAATTCTGAAATAGTTAAAAGAAGTTAAAGAACAAGTTAAACATGTGTTCAGTGATGGCTGGTTTATTAAAGATCCAAAAGACTTATCTGGTTGTAGGTTTTTTCTTATTGTAGAATGGCCAAACTACATAAAATGCCACAATTTGCAGCATTTAATTCCCAGCAATGTGGTGCTTCTTCAGGAATATTTATGAATAACATGTGTGAGGTTTCAAAGCAGAGAGCAACCACTACTGTGTAGTTCATGTTTACAATAGTGGCACTGTTTTTAAAATTGTTTTGATCTGAAGAATTCCTTGGTGTACTTCGAGGCGGGAAACAATGCTGACGAGATACAAAAACAGGTCTGCTATTCCGTAATATAGACAGATGCAGACCTTTATGAATGTGCGTGGACTGAAATGTTTCAAATGCTTTTGGAAGCTTTCAAAGGGCCATTGGTACAAGCATATATGCCCTTTGAAACATTCCAAAAATAGCTGAAGTGCTCCAAAACAATACCTATTGAAAAGAGGTTCATAGATTCATAGATGTAGGGTCGGAAGGGACCTAAGTAGATCATCAAGTCCAACCCCCTGCCCCGGGCAGGAGAGAATACTGGGCTCATATGACCCAAGCTAGGTAACTGTCAAGCCTCCTCTTAAAGACCCCCAAGGTAGGAGCCAGCACCACTTCCCTTGAAAGTTGGTTCCAGATCCTAGGTGTTTACAGTGTTTCCATCCCTGTTATGGGCGTGCAGGGACAGGAAGACTCGCAGGTCCTCCAGAATCCCACAGAGCCCCACTCTCCCCACTCAACATGGGGAAGGGAAGAAGAGCAGAGAGGAAGGCAGTCTGCAGGCTGTGTCAGACCACTTCCTGGTCCTGGCACTCAGGTACTCAACTATACCACTAGTTCCAGGGTTTTCTGCTCCAGCCCACTTTACCTCTCCTCTCCATTGAGTGAGAAAAAGGAGAGGTTGAAAGGATTGTGGCCGGACAGTCAGAATCCTAGCAGTGAAGAGCTAGGGAGCCCCTGCTGCCCCTACTTACTTGACTTTCCTACTGCCTCCTGCATGCAGCTGAGGCAATTTTAAGATGTTCCAGTATGCCACGGGCCATACGTATGCCCCCCTAGCTGAAACATCTTTTTTTTCTTTCTTTCTTCTTCTTCTTTTTTTTTTTTTTTTTAAGCGTTTCCAAGTGAAATTAGAAATTTCACTTTGAAATTCGGTTGCTTCTATTAACACCCAAAGTTATCTTTCTTGGGGACTCTCCAAGATCATCTTTGCTCACTGATCCTTTTACTATTCACAATCTTAACCCTGCATTATGATTCTCCTTCCACTTAGGTTACGATCCCTATGAAGCTTCTCAGTGTCTGGTCTGAAAAACTGAAAGGTATTTACCAACCAGTAAGAGGCCTCTTTCCACATGAGTATTTATGGCCCAATGAAAGAGAGCCTAAACTAGTATTGGCATTGACTCTACTCTGTACTGCAACTGCCTGTCAAGCCAGCCCAAACTTTTCACCTTGTTTAGTTCCCCTTAAAACCAGTGAACATACTGCACCAACACTGCAATGAACATTACAGTAAACTCAGAAGGCAACGCTTGAGTCTAAACTTTCTGTTATTGGCCTCATAGTCATTGCAACAGAAACTGCCTTTTGACACTATTTCAGTAACTTATTTTTATATAGCTTCGTATGTTTCAGTATCCCCATAATTCACCGAGCTCGTGTCCTACACTAGTCTCTGAGCCCAGTAATACAATAAACATGTACTATAGCATTTATAGTCCTGATGGTTGAGATTAAAAATGTAAATCAGTCCTTGAGTTCTAACCCCTCTCTCTGAGTTTTTTTTTAAATATTTATTTTTGAGTTAAAACTTCATATTTCACAAATCCAAAGGTGAAGTCTTTGGAAAGATGTAGGGCAGTCTATTCACACATTTCTCTACCACATGCCTTTTCCTTATTAACACATTTTTTTTCCCCTTGCCTATAAAGTAACTCAAATCGTTACTTTATAAAACCTGTCTGCACATGGGTAGCCCTCAATAAAGACCAGTCTGAAAATGTTATTAAAAAAAGCTTTAATTAGATAGAGTACAAATTCTTAGGTTTTTAGTTGAGCAATTTCCAGTAGCACCATGGAGATGTAAAAATAAAGCAACCCAAACCCACAATACTAAACTTCAGCTCTCCTCCCCTCATAAACACTCCATGAGAATTACAAGAAAAAGAAGTTACGGGTGCAGCAGATAAATTCTCAGTTTTAAACGTAAAAAAATTCAGGAAATGATTGTTACAGTTCTTATAACAATATTCTCTCACTCATGTCACATAGGCTGTACAAATTCAACTTTTCAAAAGTGCATGAACTTTTGCACATGCCCAGTACCTGAGAAGATTAAGTCTAGGTACATACAGATATCCATTAGAAGCGTGCAAAACTGGCTGTATTTGATTCGGTTTCGACCTGAATCGGGGACAGTGATTCAATTTGTTGATTCGGATCACCGTCCCCAATTCGATTCAGCCGAATCTTCAACCTGAAGATTTGATGCTGATTTGGAGAATCAGCGATTCAGCCATAGACACAGGTTTAAATGTTTTTTCTACATACCTTGAGGTACCAGGTGCAGCTCTTAAACACTGCGATGCTGGGGCGGATGGAACGTCCCACAGAAGTGCAAGGGCGCTCCCGCTCCCTGTGTGCTTGGTGGTGAACTGGGAAGTACTTCCGGTCCACTTCTGGGTACAGCGGGGAGCAGGTGGGAGGCGCCCCCACTCCTCCCCAGTTCAGTGATCGGACATGGGGGGACCCCAGGTGCCCCCCCCAGACCCAAGAGGCACCACTCGCTGAGCCAGGAGAGTGCGGGGGGGGAAGGGAGCATACTCCCCAGCAGACCCGGAGGTGGACTGGAAGTGCTTCTGGTCTACTACCAGGTCTGCTGCTGTTTGTGCTGGGGAGCCCCCCTTGCTCCTGTGGAATGGTCCATCCACCTCAGCATCGCAGCATTGATGGGCTCCCTGGTACCTTGAGGTATGTAGAAAAAAACATTTAAAGCTGTGTCTATGTCCAAATTGCCAAATCTTTCCAAATTGATTGGAGGGTTCCAATTCAATTCGGAAAGATTAAAGGGTCTCCTGATTCAATTTGGAGATTCAGTCACTGAATCGGGCTGAATCTCTACTGAATTGAATCAGGGACCGAAGCTTCGCACAGCCCTAATATCCATATCTACCCCAGTTATCTACTGATATGCAGCTTATAACATTTTCTCTCCCAGGAAAACATCTCTTGGGAGTGACTTAACCCTGGTTGCTGGTTATTTTTCTCCTGGAATGGCCATTTTTACTCTGGGAGAAAAAGCCTGAACACCAACCTGCACACTTGTGGTTTCTCCTGGGAGAGCAGCAACTCTCCGAAGAGAAACTGAATGTCTGTATGAGACCTCACATGCACCAGGTGTTGGGCTCATACACTTCAAATGTTTGGGCCACAGTATGTACAACTTATCATTATGTTTATATTAAAAACCTAAAAGGCAAAGCTCTAGAGATCCCAGATAAATATTATTAATAAATTATGAGAACATAAAAGTATGTGCAAGTTAACACTGCTAAGAGAACTGTAATTTTGTTGCACAGCTTCAGTGTATTTGAAAATAGTGTTACACTATATATTCACTATATATTCTGCACAAGTCAATCACCATGTTGGAAGGCAGAATGATCTGTTTGCTATTATTTAAGATACAGCTTAAGATACAGTTAAATTCAGCATCCATGAAAGATGCAAGATCGGTAGCAGTACAGAGACAGACACCCTAGGCTTTTCTCATAACATTCTACCAACATATCTGAGCTGAATTAGTTAATTTAGTGTCTGTGCCCAATTCAAGAATCTGGGTACCTGCTGAAACTGCCAACAAAGGCAGTCAGGTTGGCATTTCTGTCATGTGTACAACAGTTCACAAGGAACTGCACCAAAAAATTATTCTACAATGGACAGGTACAAATTTTGGTTACTAACCAAACCACAAAAGACCTGAGTTCAGCAAACAAGAGCTATAAATCTTTTTATATAACATGAGACATCGGCTTTCCTCTTACTTCCAAATGCCATATGACTTGCATATTTTATGTCTTGTTTACAGATTCTATCATTTCCCACTTACATTTCTATGAAACCTGGTCTAGTAATGCTTCCAACATGCTTGCACATCTGTGCACCCCTGGTTCCAGGTTTCAGTTGTTCACATCCTTACAATGGAAAGATGTGATTAGCTGATAGAGTAAAAAGCTCTTACTGAAATAATTTTATTTAGCTTGTTGGCAGTTAAGTGGTTTTATTTGGTCTTTATCAAATGCTACTTAATGGAATTCTGATAACATATAGAAACAGCAGGTCCAGAACGTGAATTCTTAATTACCATGAAGAAATCTAGAAAGCTGGAAAAAATATTATAATGCATTATGTTAAGAATGCAGAGAAAAATGAGAAGAAATCCCACTAAAGATACAGATGCAAAAGAAGCGTTACTGTATTTTGTGTGAGTGTTTGTTCTGAAACTAAAGTCTTCGTGTTACCTTGCTGGACTCTTCTAGCTGAGTACCTCTCTTCCAGGCTTCGGAAAACATAGAACTGACAATACTCTGGGAACGCACATGTCCAGTTGGCTGGGTGTCAGAAACTCCACTGTCAGATTGATTAGAGTGATTCGACTGAGATTCTGTTTAAAAGAAAGTTAAGGAATTGAGTGTATTATTTCTGTCAAGATTAAGTAAGTCGATGTGTTTGTAATGCAGCTCTTTGAGTGACATTTGTTGTGCACAGAAGTAACAGATTAATAACATGCTTTAGCAAATACGATAGCTCAAAGGACATTATTGCCATTAAGTACACAAAACAACCTTAGTTCTTGGGGAAGAGACACTGAAAGATTGCTGGCCTGAAAACCCCCAAACCAGCAGAATCTGATAATTAATGAAATCTGAAATTCTAAAAATAGTAGTGTTTCAAATAATTTGTGATGTCTTCCCTGTTCTCCAGCCTTACAGAAGCTTCTGCTCAAGCCTAGCTATGCTGTGAATTCACAAAATGTGCACCTTGATTTAAGAGATTCAGCAGATTCATAGCTTCCACATCAGAAAGAACTACTGTAATGTTCCAGACTGACTTCTGGCATAACAAGTCAATGGATTTATTTTTGTTTGAACTATACATCTCTTTCAGAAAAACACTGAATCATGACTTAAAAACTGCCAGTGATGGAGAATCTGCCATTAACCCTGGAAAGCCATTCCAATGGTTAACTACACTCACTGTTGAAAATCTGTCTTATTTCTACTCTGTACTTGTTTTGCTTTGACTTGTAGACACTAGCTCCTATCATATCTTTGTCTTATAGATTGAAGAGCCCATTATCAAAGCCTAGTTCTTCATGTAGGTATTTAGAGACTTATTAAGTTACCCGTTAACCTTCTCTGTTAAAAAACTGTGCAGATTGAGTGCCCGGAGTTTCTGATTTTAAAACATTTTCCAATATAATCATTCTTACAGCTGGTCCTTGAAACTCTTCCTGAGTTGTGGCTATATCTTTGCAATGTTCTGTCCACAATGCACATCATAGTTCTGTAACTAATCTTGTCACAGAACTATGCTTCAGATTACTCCCCTGCAAGTTAAAAAAGCATTTGTAACAGATGTATATTCATTTGAAAATGTGGTTAATGGTTTGCGCCTCCACTTCAGTCTTTAACTAGTATTTGCCTTTAAAATAGTCTCTATACTAAACTGAGGTCAGTGGGAACAGGTTTCTGTACCCAGGCAGACCTTGTTACAGGGGTCTGATTTAGGTTTAGGTACAAACAAATTGTGGAATTTCTGCTTTAGAACAGAGATTACTTTCCAATTATTTATTTTACTCGCTTCATCCCACCAAACCACTTAGTTTAAAAAGTTTTATCCCATCGCTGAAACATGAATCTTGAATCCTCTTTCCCAAATGGTGAGAACAAAGGTAACAGCAGGTATTGGAAATGGAATGACGCTCACTCTGTTTTCAGGTTTTGAAAAATTCTTTTTGGCAAAAGTACTTTATCTGACTGACAGAGCATACCCAAAGGACTGAGGACTGCAACAGATTGTGTTTTGAGATTAAATACAAATATGAAATACCTGAGACTATGTGGAAATAATGATTTCCATTTTCTAGCTTCTAACTGGGATCTCCAAGCAGTTTTAAAAGAAAAGGTCATCAACAAGTCTTTCCAGTATAAGTTAGGTTATATTTACCTGGTAAACTGGAAGAGCTGGAGCCTGACTTGATGCTAGAGCTAGACAGAGAAGTCCAATCATACGCTGATTCAGTCCTCTTCAGTGCTTCCTGATAGTTCACATACAGTTGCTTCCCATACTAAACAAAAAAGAAGAGGAACACAATATAATTGTTTAGATTGTGCCCACTTCAGCTGGCTGATTTATATTCCAGGTTTCTGTAGCCCACAAGAATGTTATAGTAAGAGGAAATGTGCTACATGTAGTTGATGGATTTAAATATCTTCTCTCAGAAACATGCAAGAAAATTGCATAATTAATGCAGCGAGACAAGCTGCTCATCCTAGATAACCACCTTTTAAACCACTAAATCTACTTTCCTTATAACTGTTTTACCCAAGTCCATATAGGAGTTGACCCAAAATGAGTCCGCATGGCTAAAACCCAGCAGTGATTTCACAAGCCTATTAGAACCTCTCTGTGCAATCAGACAGCAGGATGACACAGATTAAAAGTTTGAAAATTCTGTATGTGCATAGGCACCTAAAATTGAAAGTCTGGTAAGGAAAGGAACATACCACTGTCAGGCTTTTAAAAAGCAGTAATACACAAGACAGTCTGAAACTTTTGTGCAGCTTAAAATTCAAAATGATTAAAAAAGGGAAAATTAGAATATATAACATTTTGCTAGACAATTAAAGTTTGTTTCAAATGAATCATAATTTTGACCCCAGTCTTCTTATTCTTCTCTCCCCTAACTCATCATCTGTCCCAATAAATCAACAATATATATGTAACACTATTACAAGCACTACACTGCAACAATGAAAGAAGAGAAATGGTTAAATAGTAGTTACCTTGGCAATACGAATGCCATTAATCCATTGGTGTAGAGTTCTGACATCATCACAGCAGAGATACTTGATATACTGGGATTTTTTCTGGATCTGAGGATGCTATGGGAAGAATATTTAGTCTTAGTCTGATCAATTTTACTCCCAGGAAAAACAAGCAAGTAGTTTCACAACTCAAATATATAGTTTCACAACTCAAATATATATAGTTTCACAACTCAAATAGTTTCACAACCCAGTACTACTGGGTTCAACAAATGAGTGGGCTTATTCAAAAGGTTCCTTATCTGAGATTGTTACTTTCAAATCTAATGAAAAACTACATCAGAAAATGCAAATAAATCCATTTATCTGTTTGGTTCCCAGTCAAGACATTCTAATTGTTGAAACATGGAGTAACTGACGTTTCAAGGTGAGATATTCACTTTGATTTCTGAACTCCTTTCAGTGTTCCACTAATAACAGAAGAAAAAAAATACTATTTTATACTGAAGCTTAAAACATAGGGGCTGTTTGCCTGATCTCCTTTACAAGTTTCAATGCTACAAAAAGGCTAATCTTACAGTATTATGGTATAAAACAGGGGTGTCCAATCTTTTTGAATGTGGGGCCGGATCATGAACTTTTTATCACCCAGTGGGCCGGCGAGCCACATTCAAAGACCTCACAGGAAGTGACATCACATCAGGAAGTGATGTCACATGACCTTTGACACCAATGAAGTTGCAGGAAGTGACAATGAAGTGGGTCTAAATAACCAGTTCAAAACTCGCCCTCTATAGCATCCACCTCTGCCACTGTTCGGGACAGGATACTGAGCTAGATGGACCATGGGGCTGACCAAGCATGGCACTTTTTATGCTCTTATGTTCAGAAGCTCTTATGTTCTTTGGCTGAGCTTCCAAACTATGGCTGAGATTTGCAAAAAGGGGTAGATAGGCATGTTACAAAGTTGTCATAAAAGATTTGGAGCCCTCTAAATCCCATTCATTTTAATGGAAGTTGGCCTTTTGACTCAGCTTCGAAAATCTCAGCCCAAGGTGCCAACCAAATAAGTCAAAATATATTTTGCATTTCTATACAGTGCATCTATGTGGGGCTCTCCAAGCATTTTACAAACATGAAATGAACCTCAGGATGAGCCCAGCCAGAGCAGCAGGTGCTCAGCTGCACTTTCCCCCTACCTGCGCTGGTCAGTCCCGAGCGGCACATGGCTCCACCACCACCTCTGCTGGCTGGTGCCAACCTGGGCAGGTCTGTCCCATCCGGAGCAGCATACAGCTGAAGCTAGATTCCCACGTGCTTCTGAGGCTGGGAGGAGCCCAGCCAGGTCAGCAGCAGAAGCAGCGACGGACCCCCCGCCCCTTCTGCTGGCCGGTGCCAACCCGGCCAGGCTCCTCCTGTTCCCAGTAGCATGTGGGAAGCCAGCTTCAGCTGCGTGCCGCTTTTCCTGGCTGGTGCTGACCCGGGCTGGGTCCATCCTATCTGGAGCAGCATGCGGCTGAAGCCTGCTTCCCACGAGCTGCTGGGGATGGGAGGAGCCTGGCTGGGTCTGCCCCAGCCAGCAGAAGCGGCAGCGGAGCTGTGTGCCGCTCAGGACAGGACGAGCCCGACCGGAGCAGCAGGGGCTCAGCTGCATTTTCCTCCTGCCTGCACCAGTCAGTCCCAAGTGGCATACGGCTCTGGCGTCGCTTCTGCTGGCTGGTGCCAACCTGGCTGGGCTCCTCCCGTCCGCAGCAGCACGTGGGAATCCGGCTTCACCTGCGTGCTGCTCCAGATGGGACAGATCCGCCTGGGTCGGCACCGGCCAGCAGAGGCAGCGGGGGAGCCGTGTGTTGCTCGGGACTGACCGGCACAGGTAGGGGGAAAGTGCAGCTGAGCCCCTGCTGCTCTGGCCGGGCTCATCCTGTCCCGAGCAGCACACGGCTACTCCTCTTCCCACATGCACCGCGTTGGCAACGTCAAGCTGACGCGGTGCGTGTGGGAACCTTGTCCCTTCCCCAGCCCTTCAGCAGCCATTAGGAAGCTGCTGAGGGGCTGGGGGAGGGACAAGGGGTGGGAACGAAAGTAAATAGTGTTTACTTTCGTTTCCCATTGCAGCACCGCAGGCCACAGAAAACGGCTTGGCGGGCCGCATGTTGGACAAGCCTGGTATAAAAGATCTTCTGCTTCCTTGGGCTCTTGACAGACTGTCATACTCTGACCAGTACAATAGTTCAGAAAACTCCCACTTTCTAGAAACTTTTTTATAATGTAAGTAGTGTGATACAGGAGGGGAAGAGTGACCTACCATGCACTGAATGATACAGGATTTATCACTAACACATGATTTCTACCAACACCAACACTGCTAAGGTAGAAGGCTAATACTTGAACTTTCTGTCTTGCCAAAACCATAACTGGGAAAAGCAAACCCATACTAGAATTTCCATCTGTGTATTTCCTGACTGTTCAACACAATTACTTTAGTTAACTTTTAAGTAAACTCATCAGAAATTTAAAGTAAACTGTATCTGGAACAGAATATTAGATGGCTAAAAATGCTTATTCTCCCTCCCTCCCCCATCTAAAAGAGAGAACACAGCATTTTTAAATGTATTTAGAAAAAAATATTCTATTTTAAGTTTAGTGTGGAACATAAAGAATTCAAATAAGAAATGTATATTTGTTTTTCAAATCTGGATGTTGGAAACCACTACGGCTGGATAACATGGTTTTTTCCTTGTCCATTTTGTAGAAGTTATTTCTCTCTCAGTTGTTGGGTAGCAATGAACAATATTATTAAGCCCTTCATCAGGGAATGGTTCAGTAATACCAAGACTTGCTGAAAGATCAAAAGGTACCTCCCTTTTTTCTGAAGGTTACTTTATATATAATGTCCAAGATACTTCTTTTCAGAGCACATGTTCACACTACATTTTCCACTTAACATGGTCGTAAGTCTAACATTTCACAAGCGCTCCAAATCTACCAACTATATATCTATCCCTACAACCCTAGGGAGGAATTCAACATGAGCACAAGGTCAGCTGTATCATTAATAATCTTGTTTTTCACTTGTTCTTGCTGTCAATTCCTTTAAAGTATCTGGAGTACAGGGAAAAATGCAACCCTGCTTGTAACTGTGGAAAGAAAGTGACTTGGACATGGGTGTATAGCAAATTAATGGAAGCCACGAGGACAGAGTTCATGAGTGTAGACTCCCAGCTAATGACTGCTGCATGTAATTTAAAAAAATGCTTTAGCCCGTTTTTTCTAAAATTATAAACACACCTAAAGGAAGCCCTCCCCACCCCCAATCTAACCTCATGACCACATCTACACAAGCAGCAGTACATATTTGTGCAGCAAGATTTAATGTGAGAGGCAAAATCTGAATCTGGACAAGGATAAGAGATGTGACTGTACAGTTTCCATTTGTTAAAAAATTCTTTCTGAAAAAAATCTTGGGCAATTGGGAGTTAATTTCCAACTTTGTTAATGCCAGCGGTATAAACTGAGCATCTGTAAATAAACTATATTCTTCAATTTGCTAAAACCTGATTTATACAAAAGACATCTTTGAGAGAGAGAAAGCTCAGTGTCATTTTAAATCTCCTGTTAAACTGCCTGGTGACATACCACCACTACATTTTATTTTACACCTTCAACATTGTGCTAAATAGTCAAGTAACCACATCACAAGTCCTTACTGGAAAAGAAAACATATTCAAATTTGAGTTCTTAAAATTTGAGAACATGGCTAGTAAGGATTTTTATGGCTTACACTAAAAATCAAAATTAAGGTTTTTTTTTTTTAATTTGTTCTAATAAGGTTTGGCCTAGTTTATACTGAATGGTCAGCAAGTTTTAAGAAATGGCTCAGTGAGAGCCACGTTTGAATTATGTAGATAGAATATGACACACTGGAGAAATAAGCACAATTCCATTTCTGGCTTGATATTTTCTATTCAGGAAACCATTTTACAGCAAAAAAATTACCCAAAGAAATTAAAGTTCTGCCTTTAATTGTTTCCAATTAATTGCAGAAGAACTGCATACCTTTTCCGTTTAAAGGTATTAGATATACAACATTTGTAACTATGCAGGATTTTATAACCTTTTCATTGAGTTTGGAGACATAAGGAAAGCAGTAGCCATGTCAAGCATTTTAGTAACTCATATATGAAATGAAAGCATAAGACATAAACAAACAAGTAACCTGACCCACTAAAGGAGAACAAACATTTTTTATCATCCTTCCACCACTATCCAATTCATAATCAAGGATTTCTGTGTGCGAAACCAGTGTAAAAAACTGTTTCAACCTATACATGGCATAGCTTTTTAGCTCAGTTTGGCACTATTTATAACACAATGTGTGGGAATAAGATGGTGGCTTGATTGCTACAGGAAGATAGCGTGGCACCATGTAAAATAACTCTGATAGTATTTCAGTTGGTAGCCCTATGGTTTAAGGTCACAACCTTAAATAAAATATTGCAATTGGGCACTACATTAATTACATGCATTTCCTTTTCAGTTGCTTTTCATGCTTCCTGTCTTAGGGTGTTTTCAGCTCTGATCTTTATCTACACAGTTTTACTAAAGAACCAGTGCATATCACTGATCGGTAGCGGGTTACATATTAAAAAGGCTCATTTAATTTATGGTGGGAATGCACTAAAAGTGTTACCCCTTAGTTTACTATATGCCTGTCTAGGAAAATTATATGGAAGATGTCTAGAGAATGTTTCTCGCTTTCATAAAAAAGGGCAAAGCAAACAGGGACACTTTTGGCAATTTTTCCTCTAACCTAGGGTAGGTAGTGTACTGCATGTCATCAGCACATAAACCAAGTCACAACAAAGTGGGCCATGCATTCATATGGCAAAAATGCTCCATGCCCCCTCTTCACTACCAGTATCATGGAAAGATTCTCCCTTTTGCATCCCTCTCCCACCCCCTGCCTTTCCTCAAACATCCATCTTGAACACAAGATGAATATGAGCCTTCAATGTGATGCTGCGGCTAGTAAAGAGACCAAAATGCTGGCATGCATCCATAGATGCTTCTCATGCAAATCCCGGGATGTCATTCTCTCATTGTACTTGGCCTTGGTGAGGCTGCAGCTGGAATACTGTGTCCAGTTTTGCACTCAGGAGGGCCCCCAGCACGCTCCTCGGAAGACCCGGAAGTGGATCGGAAATGCTTCTGGTCCACTTCCAGGTCTGCTGCCGACTGTGCTGGGGAGCCTCCCCGCACTCCTGTGGGACACTCCATGTGCCCCAGCATCACAGCATTCATGAGCCACCTGCTACCTAGAGGTACGTAGAAAAAACATTTAAAGCTGTGTCTGAATCATCGAATTTTTCTGAATCTCTCCGAATCGATTTGGAGGGTTCCGATTCGATTCGAAGAGATTAAAGGGTCCTCTGATTCAATTCAGATTTGGAGATTTGGCGACCGAATTGGGTTGAATCTCTGCCAAATCGAATCAGGCACCGAACCTTCGCACAGCCCTAGCACTTACCCCATTCACTCCTAGGGCGTTTGAATCTCTCTTGCTTTGCAGCAAAGTGTTTTAACCAGCAGGCTACAGGTGAAACATTAGGCAGACTCCTCTTTACACTGACCCACTGCACCTTGCATTTAATATTCACTGTCTAAGAAAAGCAGTGGAGAAGCTTCTGCCTCAGTCAGAGCAAGGGTCCAGCCTAGAATTCACAGCCCCTCCCATCCAAAATAGCATTAATTTCACTGAGCCACATATCCTCTTGCTTGTTGTTTTCTGTCTGACCACCATTTATCTCCCTCTCTTGGCTATTCAGGGGTCAAGGAGGGAGCTGGAACAGGGTCTCCTCCTGTGCCAGGTGAAACAATCCCAGACTGCAGGCAAATGCCAAAATTGAAGTTACATGGCTGCATTGCCATATAGGTATGTGAAGGGAAACAGGATTTAACCCTCCGGTTTTAGAACAGCAGTACTTTTGGGAAATGTAAATTGTACAAGGCAGAACCTACTGTAAGAACCTGCTGACTAACGCAATAATTTCTCATCTCCCCCATGCAGCTTGTATGCAGAGGGGAATCAACCAGCTATGCAGGGACGAAAGGAACTGCATAGTTACTTTGCCTCTCTGCATTGTCCCACTCTTCCATTTAACAGCGGGTTGCACAACAATGTATTTTCTAGTATGTAATAAAAATGCTTCTTATTCCTTATGATTTATGGAAGCAGCTGTTCAGTAGACTGAATTACTTCTCATTTAAAGTAATATTTCTGAGATTCACACTGAAAATTAGTGTAATTTTCTACTGGTTACACCATTAGAGAGCATGTTCTGCATTACAACTTTCCTGTATAAATTTTCTATACTAATTCTCTACATTAAATCCTCTTCTTCCCTACTTCCTCACAACTAAAAGGACATAGCTAAAAGAACCTAGTTGTCATAGGACACCAGATTAGTGGTTCTCATCCATTTCAGACTCAAGGCACCCTTGCCATGAACTTTTCTGAATTAGGTGGCATCTCAGTTGAGAACCACTGTCCTAATATCTCATCACTAGGCTGTTGGGGTGACCTCAGCAGGTAGAATTCTCCTGCACACTTCTGTTTCATAGTAGCTAGGGTCAGGAGGGACCTGAACAGATCATCTAGCCTGACCCCCTGCCACAGGCAGGAATGAACACTGGGTTCACAAGACCCCAGACAAGTGACTGTCCAACCTCCTCTTGAATTTGCCCAGGGTAGGGGCGAGGACCTGGAGAACCCAACTGGGAAGCAACTATGGCAGGAGCCCCTGCATACATTAGTTTACATTGAACCCAGAAGCCTAATTTTGTAACCTCACTTCCCAGTCTGGCTCTGCAGGTACCTCTTTGAAACAGAAGTACACAGGGCAGTTTCACCTGGCTGTGGCACCACAGCACTTTGAAAGGGTCTTATGGCACCCGAATTGAGAACCACCACACTAGACAAAGAAAGTGTGCTTTGAAATTTTCTGTTGGTGCCTTTAAACTTGTGGCGTTTGGTCAAGGATTTCTTAACACCTACAAAGTTACCTTTAGCACTAAACAGTAGTCTGTAGGGGCTTTATACTTGTTCCGATAGTCCTGTCCATAGTAAACATTGACGTGATCCAGCTGAAGAAAGCACACAAGATCCCGTGAAACCTGTTAAATACCAAAAGAATCATTTATGAAAACTCTTCATAAGGAAGATCAGAGGGCCAATGAAAAACCTCCACATTTGACTACAAGCTCTTCCTACTGAGGCATGGACTATATAGACTAGTAGTTCTTAGCCTGTTTAGACTCATGGCACCATTCCAAAATTTTTCAAAATTCAGCAGCACCTCATTAAAAATACCTAGTATAACTATGTTCTGAACATTATCAAATAATATTTCTATTCATAATTAACATGTTCTTAATTGATTAGATTATATTCAACCCACTGCCATGGCCAGGTGGAACTGTGCCTCTTTCAGGGCCAGATCCAGGAGTGGTTGTGGCAGGAACAACACATGCTCTTGCTGCAGCCTGTCCCAGGCTGACCCTGTGTGGTGTCTCCTGGAAGAAGAGCTGAGCAGGGCAGGTGGAACTGTCCTGCATACCTCTGTTTGCAGGAGGCATGTCAGAGCTGAACTGCAAAGTGGCAGCAGGACAAAGCTGCATGTGCCTGCATTCCTTTATGTGGGCAGGCATGCCACTACTGCTTTTCCTGTTCAGCTCTGATGACCCTCCTGAAAACAGAGGCTTGCAGGGCAGTTTCACTTTGTGGCAGCAGCAGCTTGGAGATGCATGCCACTGCCACCACACAGAAGTGCTCCATGCACCTCTGCTTTTACAAGGCACATTGAATCTGAACAAGGAAGTGCTACAGCAGAAGCGGTGGATCTGCCCGTATAGTGTAATGCAGGTAAGCAAGACTCTTCTGCAGTCGCTTCTGCACTCAGCTCTGACATGCCACCTGGAAATGGAGGAATGTGGGGCAGTTCTACCCCGTGGCAGCAGCAACAACATCACAACACCCCTGGCAGGTTTCTGTAGCAGCCCTGTTAAGAAGCACTAATGTAGATAGGTTCACCAGTTTAGCTAGACATCTGATGTAGTTAAACTGCAGCAGCTATTTCTGAAGTGACTCTTACATACATTGGGTCAGCTTGGTAGCTACAGAGATAAGCATATTGGCAAGCATAACCAAAGAGATCCACATAAACTGTGGTGTAAGTAACAAAGAACAGAAATTGGTGGAATTTCACACCTTTAAATAAACTGCTGCAAATGAATGTACAGAGAAACTCTTAGTTTTGAACTATTCAGAACAAAGCACATTGCTGCAAATGGATGCACCAGTGCCAAGAAACTAAACCCAAGAACCATATACTATAATTCATGCTACAGAAGTTCAAGGAGATTCAGCCAATTTTCCAACACAGCATGATAAATGCCTGAATCTGAGCTTTTGTAAGAAGTCTTAGTTATAAGAATGCTCTATTGCAGAGAAAGGAAAATACTCCAGAGATCTTGAAAAAAAGCAAACAAACCCAAAACTGTCAGGACGTTTGGAAATATTTAAGCTTTTATTTTTATTCTATTTTATATTATTATTTCTGTAAACAAGCTTTTAGAAACTGTGAATTGATTTCAGAATATGTATCAACTCAAAACCACATTTAAAATTAAGTTAAAAAGGAGCCACTAGATATGAACTTCTAACAGTAATTTGGTGTTTTAGTTTTCTTGGCACGTGTCAGTCAAGGATACACTGATATTTGCAGTGTCAGTCAGTCCTCAATCTGAGAAAAACAGGCCTACTGATGCAGGTAGGGAGAAAGATATTCACTTGAACCCAAATACTAACTTTTCAGGGAAAATGCTCTATTTCCAACAAATACGCAAGTCAAACTCTTCTAAATGGAAGATCTTCATGACCTGCATTTTAATTTGGGGTCAGAATCCTTGCATTACATGCTTCTAGAATAAACGTATTCCATAAGATGCTTTTTAGGAAGGGATTTTGACACTAAGCTACACAAGAGCGTAATGCTGAAGTTCAGCAGTAGTATTCAAGGCTCCTACTACATGTGACATTCAGGATTAAATTATCAACAGGATGTGTTTTATTTGCCTTTTTTCCTCCAGAAGAATACAGTTACCAGATAGCAAGTTAGAGTAAACAATGCTTTTTAATAAAAAATCCACCTTTGCTTTTCCTTTAGGAACATAGTAGATTCCAGAAGCTCGCAAAAGAAAGTAACGTTTCTTCCAAGACTTCTTGCCATCATCTTTCAGCCACAGGACTCCCTCAATTTCTGGCACTGTTACAGAACTTCCACAAAAACATTCCTATAGAGAACCAAAGGGACCATTGAAAAGAGAGAGAACATGTAGCATGCTAATTTTTTTTTTAAATGATGAAACTGACTGACTTTACAGTGCTGTAGATGGAATTTCTTTATCTAGAGAACACATACCAGGAGCAATTTCTTCTGTACTCAGCTATAACATGGAGGGACCAATTATAAAGCAAAAAGGTAATTCAATCTTACAGGCCCATTTGATCTTTGAATTTTCTGAGCTAATTGCTTTCTTATTTAGAGAACACTAACAAAGGTGCTACTCAGCCACTACTGCGAAGGTTCTTAAATGCTGCTTATCAACAATTGGTCCTGAAGTGCACCAACTGTTCCTAGTCAAACCTGGTGAATGAGTCCTAGTTCCCAAATATGCAAAAAAAGCCCAATTAATAATTACTTGGGCCCAATCATGATTCATCTCCTACTAAATGCTCACACTACAAATGTTGGTCATGCTTTATATTAAGTTTATATTGATAAAGGATTCCTAAAGGATTAACAGATGCTCCAACATGTTTTAAAAATAACTAGTAGGTGTTATAAAGGATTATAAGAACAGAAGTAGGTGGTGTAAATGCTGGTTGCATCTCTGTCATGGTTACAAGCAACCTAATTCAAACGGTTTTTAGCAACTGTTTAACCATGTATTAAAACATCTCTTCATAATTTAATAATCATTTATACATTATTTATAAATAGAACCTTAATAAGTGTAATCCAATATATTTTAGCCCTATTTTAAATATTTACTTCAGTGTTATTCCATTGAAATCATACTTGTTTATTTCCAAAAGGAAGCACTCCCATTACCCTCCCATTTTGTATCAGAAGTGCTAGTCATCTGAATGTAACAGCTAGAAAACATTTTCAGTATTAGGATGTCTCTTCTTTCAAATGGCACAGAACTGTAGAAAATTGAGCCTGAGGTTATATTTAATATCTTTTTCTATTTGTGGTTGCTTTTGTTCTGAAAAGCTGTTTAATTTTTTGTCACTTTAATTAGCTCCCTTGTCTAATACATTTTTTTTGCCCTTGTCTTTATTATTTTGTATTTTGTGGGGGTTTTGATCTATTAAACTATTACTGTTTCAATTTCTTATACATTTGCTTAGCAATACAATTTTGGATACAACAAACTGTTGCTTGAGACTCAGCTGTATTATGCAAACCTAATACTATATGGGTAGCAGACAGAAGTTTGGAAAGTACCATTTCTAGAAAAAATGTCCATATCTTCATGGGATCAAACACTATGCTAGAGTTCTGCAAGTCTCAACTATGTTTAAATACAACTGTATATGGCACATATTTGATCCCAATACAAGATCATTCATTCAATTCTGCTGTTAATGTAATAAAATCCCCAAATATTTTTATTCACAAAGAACAGGGGAACATCTCCAAGGTAAATACTTCACATTTAACATATCCTGCTTTACACTGCCAGGAAACTCACTCCTCTTCATTCATCAGTGTACATCTTAGCAAACTTTTAGGTTTACCATACTGTAACTAAGAAATAAACATCACTCTCTACAATAGCAATCTTACCTCTAGCAGCACCTCTTTGTTTCTGTCTGCCATCTCAGAGGTTTCTTTTTTCCCCAGCAGATAGTTCTGCAGCAAGAGAAAATGAAAGCATAAAACTTCAACTGAAGTTCTGAAGTACAACCAAGTGTTCTTTCTTTTTCACCTTTCCTTACTGGTAAGGGTTTAGCCATTCTCTAAGACTTCTCTGGTCTCCTAGTAATATAATCCACAATAAACACAGATTTAGAGCACACGAGTCATGTGATGAATTGCTAAAGTATACTTGGGACCAAAAAATTACACTGTGCATTTTAAGAAAGCTTTTCAGTTGTTAGTTTATGAGAAATTACCTTAAGTAACAGCCTCATAGGCAAGATCTCATCCTACCCTTACAAGCCTGTAACAGGGAGTCTTGGGTTCCTGTTACTTTAATGAGAGACAAGGCAGCAGACAGAGCCCAGGAAGCTGAATAGGGACTAGCCAGAAGAAGGAAGACAGCAAAGAAACACGGCTACATAAGCAGGGAGCTGCCCATTAGAGGGAAGGGGCGTACCTGTGGCAAGTTAGGAAATCTCTGCCTGAGGGGAGTTGGTTGCAAGAGAATTAGGGAGCTAAGGAAACAGGCCAGCAGAGCAGAGTCTAGCTCACGCAGCAGGGAGGCTGCTAGAGCAGCAGTCATAAGCAAGGAATCTGTTTTTTTCTGTTTAAAAATCCCAAATACTCTGATAAAAACACAAACTGAAAATTCTCTGATTAAAAACCTCAAAATCTGCGTTTTTCCACAATTAAAATGAAATGCCACTATACATATAGGTATCAGTTGAACACAATGTTTCATTGCTGTATTTACAATTTTGAAGCAATTTGGAGGCCTACCAGTACTGCAATCATACAGGCAGTCCTTGACTTAAGACATTTCAAGTTACAACGAACAGCACTTATGACATTTATAAACTGACACCCTGTTTCGACTTTCTGACGTCAGTTTCAACTTCACGACACTTGATGTGACGTCATGCCAGCAAACAAGCTCGCTGTGTTGCCCATCTCCCTGGAGAACATCTGTCCAAACTTCCTTGGACACTTTTTTTAAGAAAGCAGAGAGACTCCAGAAAAACCTGCAACCAAGACTTCTGAGAAGACTCCAGCCAAGAACCCTTCAAAAAGTCCAGCAAAGTCACCTCAAAGAAGTCCTTCCAAATCAATATGATTGCTATTTACAATATAAATACATTCATGTAGCTACATTACTCATCTGTAATTATCCAAGTACAAAATCCTGTGTTATTTTTGGTGAAAATAGGGTAATCAGGCCTTGGTTCAGGAACCAATCCCCCATTTCTAACACTGTTCCTATGGGAAAATCAGTTCCGAGTTACAATGTCTCAACTTAAGATGTAGTTTTCAGGATCCAATTGTGTTGTAAGTCTGAGGACTGCCTGTAATAAAATAAATTCTAAATACCTATATTTTTGTGTTTGTTTGTTTTTTTGTCCTTTCCTGCTTCCCCCACTGCTTTACGGCGCTCTGAGCAGCCCTGCTATGCTGTTGCCCTGCTCCTGGCCCCTCACTCCCAAGCCATAGCCCCCCAAGCCCTGCCAATGCTCCTCACTCCTGTCCCATGGCCCCTAGCTCTGCTGGTGCTGATCATCCCCAGCCTACAGCCCCCCGGGTCTGCCAGTGCTCCTCACTCCAGACCCCCAGCATCCGCCAGCCCTGCTGGTGCCCCTCACTCCTGACTAACCCCCCCAAGCCCTGCTGGTGCTCCTTACTCCCAACCCACATCTCCTCTATCCCCAGTGTGTGGGGAATGAAGTGGGTGTATGGGGAAGGGGGGGATGTGGTCACAGGCAGCATGTGGAGTTGGTGAGACACAGGCAATGCATCAGGGGGTGGGGGACATGTGCCCCCCAAGATTTCTGCATCCACAGCAGGGTGCAGGGCTGCAGCTGCACCAGACCATCTCAGGGCAGGAGCCACCTCTACAGCGCAGAAGGCAGGACCCAGTGTGGGAGGGAGCGCTGCACTGCCATGGCCGCCAAGGTGAGATGCCCTGTGCCTGCCTGGCAGCAGCGGGAGGCACAACTCTGCATTGCCACTGCACCTCATCTTGGTGGCCCATGGTGGTGTGGTCCTGTGGCAGGTCTCGACCGTTGGGCTGCAGAGGCAGCTCTTGCTCAGAGCTGGTCCAGCCAGGCTGCATTCCACTGTGGGTACAGAAATGGGCGGGGGGAGGGGTGGAAGGCGGGGGACAATGACAATGTGCTCTTTCCCCCCCACACACATTGCCTGTGCCCCCTCCTGTCCCCATCCCCACAGACTTACCTGGAGGGAGCTGCCAGAACTGCTCTCCATCACAGTCTGGCTGCCACATGCATGTATACATGTGCACATGCACGGGGAGACCCCTGTGTCCTGCTCCCCCCCAGCCTCAAGCATCCCTTTGCATGTTGCAACTCTGCCAGCAACCTTTAAAGGAGAAAATCCACATTTTTCTGAAAGCCCGGATCCCTGGTCATAAGCTGCCGTGCCAATCTCCCTAACCAGAAACCCCTGATCAGTTGGAGCACCACCTGACTGGAAGGGGCAGGGCTTAGTTTGCATATAAGTCAAGGGCCTGAGCCAGGTCAGGCAAGGCTGGCCCAGAAAGTTGCAGAGTGAGCAGCTCCTGGCCACGGATGGTAGGAAAGGACTCTGCTGACTCCTGGAATCCCCTAAAAATGCAAGCAATGCACTGAAGGCTTGCTATCAGGGGGATGTAATCTAGGGCAAGGGAAGGCATGGCTGCTCTGACAGTAAGTTACTGTTGATGTCTGGATTTAGTGCAGCTTTAATTTATAACACAGCCAGTGGGTTTATATTCCTTCATTACAATTTAATCCAATGGTTTTGGTGTGCCAGGGGTTGGCAGAGGTTCCAATAGTGCCTAAGGCAGAGACAGGCAAAATCCAGCCTGCAGGGTCCCTAAAAAATTTAGAAAATTAATATTTATCTGTCCCAGGCTGCCTGTCATGCAGCCCTTGATGGCTTGCCAAAACTCAGTAAGCAGCCCTCCGGCCGAAATAATTACCCACCCCTGGTCTAAGGGCATGTGGGGGTGTCCTGAGCCCAACAGGAGCCAGGGACCCAGGACATGGAGTGGGCTTTGGCTCAAAAGCAGGTGTCAGCTAAGGAGAGGGTAGCCTAGCTTGGGCAGAAGCCAGGCAGGGCCAGGAGACCCAGGCAGAGAGAGCCAAGGGAAGCTCAGTGCCCAAACCAGGGCAGAGACAGGGCCAGGGGTCCTAGACAAACAGAGCCAGAGCAGGGCAAGGACAGGCCAAGGATGTCTAAGGACTGATACCAGGGCAAGGGGGTTCAAGATCCAAGGAAGAGAGATGGATTGGTACCCATAAGCTCAGTCTGGGACAGTGGACTGGAGCTAGAAGGCCCAGCAAAAGAAAAGGGGTGGAGACCGAGAAGACCAAGGCCCCAACAAGGGAATGATTTCACAGTAACACCTGCAAGGCATGGGTGTGGTGTAAGGGGCAGTTGGAGCCACATAACAACCAGGGCTACATGTGCCCTGGGGTGGCTCAGATGGGTCAGAAGGACCCACTTAGCCTGACAGGGGCAGAACTGAGAGCAGAGCACGGTCAAGGAGGGACTTGCTAGCAGCCAGAAGAACTGGGGCTCGCTCAAGGACCCTTAGGTAGCCTTTGCTTTGATCAAACAAATACATCAAGGCAAGATGGGTAAGAAGGGGAAGGCACCCTAGAGCTGGAGCAGGGCAGAGGTTGCATGGCCACCAGGGGGTGTCATGGCCACCCCTAGAACAGAAATCCTGTTACAAAACCATAAAGCCAATCACTGGCCAGTTTAATACATACAGAGATAACATTAAAACTCAGGATAAAAGTTAGATGAGGAATCTGAACTTTTAACAGACTCCCTCATTCACTGCAAGAAGTACACGTAGGGGTATTCCTACTTCCTTCCACTCCACCTCGATAGTTTCTTCAAATAAAAATATTCCTATGAAGATTTTTTTTCCTGGTGGCCAAATAACTATTTTTCTTCTCCTTTGTTTTTTAAGTTGCAATTCATATGTACTATGGGTAAGAGTAACGATATTGTACAATCTCTTAACTAATACAGTGATCCTGAACTCTTCCTCACCTAATCTGAAAGCATTTGATATAGTGAAAGGGAACATCTGCCGCGCCCTTTCATGTTCTCTTGTTCTTTCCAGAGGGAGCAACATTCAGGGTGTTAAATCAGATCTAACCTTTTAACCAAGTTGAAATACTTATTTGTGTATATTCTGCACTGCTGTTTTATGCTGGTGGCCCACTCTCAAGGATAACTAATGAAAAGAAAGGGTTTCACGGATAAGGACTAAGTTTTCATAACTGCCTACAATTTTGGGTGCCTCATCTTGAGGTACTTAGCAGAAACCTGGGTTTCTTGGGAGATGTGCAGCTCTTGTTGAAAAATCATGTTTCTTTACAGTATTTTCAGGTAGGAATGCAAGAACTGAAGCATGCAACATCACTAATAATTTTTTTTTCTAATTCAGCACTGGGGGCTTACTCTGCCACATATTCTACAGGCATAAAAACGTGGCATATGCTGCAATGGACCACAGCATAAGCAGACAACATGTAGACAAGAAGCTGAATGAGCAACTGTAGTGATGTTAAATATGCTCCTTGTTAATTCTATATCTTTCAAACTGTATGTTTTTGGGGTTTTTTGCTTCTTTTTCTACCTTTGTCCCCTTGGTGCTTCTAGCCCTCCAGCATGATATTACCATTTTCTGTTTGCACCTACTAACAGAAAAACCTAACTACCATACCTCAGAAGCTAATTACTGAAAACAGCTATCTTTCTCCTCTTAATTGGTTGATCTAGGGACACAAGTGAACAAAAGAAGACAGCAACTCCTTGGGGACATGTGCGCTCCTTTTTCTTCTTTCCTACCAGGTGGTTGTGTCTCTGTCCCACTGTGACAGAATCCACATTCCACAGGTAGCCATTAGTAGTAACAACACTAGTCAAACAAGCTCAAACCCTATCCCCCAAGCCTTTGGAGGTGAACAGGACTAGATAATGGTGAAAAATACTTGTGAAGTGGTCAAATAGGCTTCTATGCAGTAGTGTAAAAAGCCGACAAAGAGTGCAAAGGAGGCGGCGTGGGATACAGGAGGCTGGCATAAAAATAACAGTCAGTCCATGCACTGCTGCTACCTTGGGCATAAAGATGCCTAGCACACTAGCTTGAAAGTAATATTTGAAAGTATTCTCAAACTTAGAAAATGGATTGCTTAGATCAAGATTTTCTACGGGGGCATTTTATTCTGCACTGACCACAATGTGTATTTTGGAGCTACGGTCAAAAGACAAAACTAATCTGTACCTGTTTGTACAGGTGTCAATATCAAAAGAAAAATGTTAAAACAGGTACTATCAAGAGAAGTCTACAATCTGATTTTTTTTCTTAACTTCAAACACAGTTTACACTTACCTGGGGATTTTTGAAAAGAGCATATTTTTCTATACGTTCCACAAACATAAGTTTGTTTTGACTGTCTCTTGTCCAGTTCAGAAGGTTTTCAACTAAATTTTCATGGTCCTCAAAGATTCTCTCTGTATAAATGACAAAAAGCAAAGATAAAAAATTCTATTGTTACATTTTGCAATATGACTTGAAAGCATATTGTAGCAGAAGTAAGGAAAAACAAGTACAGGGGCCAGTTTGATAACATGGAAGGAAACTCAAGAAATCTGAAAGATAAAACAGGTTTGTTTCATACTGGCACATTTGAAAGTAAAATACTTATAGTATTTTATAATACTGTAAGACATACATCTACTGTATCAATATATGGTACAAACTCTAAACATGCACTTTTTCCATCTGCAAAATTTTATTAGAGAACAAGCTATTATTAACTGTAGAATCCACCTTCTCATTAATACAAAGGGACTTGAAAAAAATTGTGGAATTTCAATAAAAATGTAGCACAGTTAGAAAGTTATCAAAGGCACAATTATTTGCCAATCAATGAATGGTTATGGAATGAGACTTATTCACTGTTACCACAAATTCCTAAACCATACTGAATCTAGTAACAAACAATTGCCATGGGGGAAAAAATCCTAAATCTCTCAAGTTTGCAGTTGCAGAATGTAGGTTATGGAATAAAGAGAGTTTGGTCTCAGGAAGTGATATGAAGACAGATGCCTGCTCATTTTAAAGAAACACACTGCTGTACCATTAATGTAAAATATTAATAATTGCCTCAGAAAAAGCTTAACTATCTTTTTGATCCACAAAGTATCAAATAGCACAGGGCAGTCAGAATAACCAGAAGGAAAACCAAGGAGTAAGAGCAAGAAATATACTGAAACGATGCAGAAATATATGAGGAGCCCTATCTAGAAAAGAGACTAAACAGAAAGTTATGTCTTCAGGACACTTTTGGACCAACCTTTTTCTCCCTATAAGTTTTTTAGGGAAGACCCCCCCCGCTTCCCTAAGTCCCTTTCTTCTCCTTGTTATGGAGAATATGCTTTCAGATTCTGAACTTTCGTTTGGACTTCCTTTCCTTTCCTTTTTAGTGTCCTTGTGACAAGGTATTTTGGACTTGGCTGACTTTTCATCAGTCCATTAAAGGAGGATGTGATTTATATTTAGTTTTACAAATCAATTATTCTGTGTTATTACAAAGGATAATGACACTGATCACATACTGAACCTTTAGAACTACAAGCTATAATTAATGAAGATTAAAGTGACATAGGACACATCAACATCTCCAATAATTAAGGATACTATGTTGAGTGAATTCCTGTTGAGTGAAATCTTCAAGCAGGGGCAGAGCTCACATGTCAGTTCCATGCCCTCATCTTAAGTATCTGGAACAAGGAAGAAATCCAAGATTCATAGATGCTAGGGTCAGAAGGGACTTCAACAGATCATTGAGTCCGACCCTCTGCCTAGGCAGGAAAATGACCCCAGCCAGATGCCTATCCAGGCATCTCTTAAAGACCCCCCAAGGTAGGGGAGAGCACCACCTCCCTTGGAAGCCCATTCCAAATTTTGGCCACCCTTACAATGAAGAAGTTTTTCCTGATGTCTAGCCTAAATCTGCTGTCAGTTTGTGACCATTGTTCCTTGTTACCCCAAGAGGTGCCCTAGTGAACAGAGCCTCCCTGATCCCTTGCTGCATCCCCCTAATGAATCTGTAAGCGGTCATGAGATCACCTCTCAGCCTTCTCTTGTGGAGGCTGAAGAGGTCCAGGTCCCTCAGTCTGTCCTCATTGGGCTTGTCCTGTAAGTCCCTAACCATACAAGTGGCCCTCCTTCAGACTCTCTCGAGTCTATCAACATCCTTCTTGAAGTACGGTGCCCAAAACTGGATGCAGTACTCCAACTGCAGTCCAACCAATGCCGCATAGAGGGGAAGTATCATCTCCTTGGATCCATTTGTCATACATCTGCTGATGCATGATGAAGTGCAGTTAGCTTTGCTGATGATTTCGTCACACTGATGACTCATGCTCATCTTGCAGTTTGCTATGACCCCAAGATCCCTTTCTGCTTCTGTGCTGCTGAGAGGGTCACTTCCCAGCCAGTAGGTGTGCTGAATATTTTTGCGCCCCAGGTGCAGCACTCTACTTGTCCTTGTTGTACTGCAGCCTGTAGTGTACTGCCCACTTTTCTAACCTGTCCAGGTCTGCCTGCAATCGCTCCGTACCCTCCGGAGTATGCACTTCACCCCACAATTTAGTATAATCCGCAAACTTGGACAGAGTACACTTCACACCCACATCCAAGTCACTGATGAAGACATTGAAGAATACAGGTCTAAGGACTGAACCCTGCGGGACCCCACTACCCACATCCTTCCAGGTTGATACCGACCTGTCTACTACCACTCTCTGGGTGCGACCGCTAAACCAATTTGCCACCCACCGGACCCTGTAAACGTCTATATTACAGCCTCTTAATTTATTTATGAGATTACCTTAAGGATGCCATGCTTGTGACAATCTTCAAAAAGGAGATGGGTCCAACTAGAAATTAGAGGGATCACCTTGCTGTCCACCACAGGAAAGATCAATTAGAGAACTGTCTCCCCTTCCACTTGATGAACAGCTCCTCCTGGAATCGCAGTATGTATTTAGGGCATCAAGAAGCACAATTGACATGAACTTCACCACTCATCAACTGCAGGAAAAATGCTGGGAACAACATTAACCTCTCTTCACGGCCTTCTTTGATCTCATGAAAGCCTTAGACTCTGTCAACTGAGAAGTGCAATGGAAGATCCTTCTGAAGTATGGATGTCCACTGAAATTCATCACCACTCGTTCCCTGCTCCATGACTGTATGTGAATGGTGGTTCTCAGCAATAGATGTATAACAGATCCCTTTGATGTTAAGATGGGAGTTAAGCAAGGCTGCATCATCACTCCAACACTCTTCTTGATATTCCTCACTGCAATGCTACACCTAACCACCAATAAGCTTCCAGCCGAACTGGAGCTAAACTACTGAACAGATGGTAAGCTGTTTAATCTCAGCCAACTCCAAGCCAAAACCCTGACCAGTCATGGAGGTTCAGTACGCTGATGATGCTGTAGCATGTGCTCACTTGAAAGCAGTTATTCAGGCAACTGTCAATGTCTTTACTAAGGCATACAGGAAAAAGGGGAGGGGAGGGGAGGGGGCTAGGGTTCAGAGTGACCTAGACAAATTGGAGGATTGGGACAAAAGGAATCTTATGAGATTCAACAAGAATAAGTGCAAAGTTCTGCACTTAGGACGGAACAAGTACAGGCTGGGCACTGACTGGCTGAGCAGCAGCTCTACAGAAAAGGAGCTGTGGGTTACAGTGGACAATAAGCTGAATATGAGCCAGCAGTGTACCCTTGTTGCCAAGACAGCTAATGGCATACTGGGCTGCATTGGCAGGTGTGTTGCCAAGAGGTCAAGGGCAGTGATTATTCCCCTCTGGTGAGGGGAACATCAGCACTGGTGAGGCCACATCAGGAGTACTATGTTCAGTTTTGGGTCCCCCGCTACAGAAAGGATGTGGACAAACTGGACAGTCCAGCAGAGGGCCACAAAAATGGTGAGGGGGCTGGGAGACATGACTTATGAGGACAGGCTAAAGGAACTGGGCTGATTTGGTCTAGAGAGGGGGGGATTTAATAGCAGCCTTCAACTACCTGAAATGGGGTTCAAAAGAGGATGGAGCTAGGCTATTCTCAGTGGTGGCAGATGACAGAACAAGGAGCAACGGTCTCAAGTTGCAGCAAGGAAAGTTTAGGTTAGCTATCAGGAAGAATTTTCTCACTAGGAAGGTAGTAAAACACTGGAACAGGTTGCCCAGAGAGATGATGAAATCTCCATCCCTGGAGGTTTTTAAGACCTGGATAGACAAAACTTTGGCTGCGATGATCTAGTTGGGGATGGTTCTGCCTTGAGCAGGGGGTTGGACTAGATGATCTCCTGAGTTCCCTTCCAACCCTAATTTTCTATGAAAATGGGACTGACACTTACATTCAGAAGACTATGGTTGTTCATCAACAAGCCCTTAACGAGCAGTACCCAGCTCCAGTAATTCAGATTCACCGTGAGACTCTGGAGAACATTGACTATTTCCTGTACCTTGGAAGCCATCTCTCACAGAAGGCTGATATAGATGAAAAAATCCAACATCACAAGTGCAGCCTTCAGACACCTGAGGAAATGGGTATTTGAAGATCGTGACATCAGATTCGAAACCAAGCTCTTGGTTTATCACCTTAGCGTAAAAGAGCTGAGATGTGTAAACGTACAGGAGATACCAAATCCTGGAGAAGCACCATCTATGCTGCCTGAGGGAGATTCTTGGAATCCAGCAGGAAGACAGATGCACCAAAATTAATATCCTCTCGCAAGCCAACACCATGAGCCTGAAGGCAATGATCATCCAACATCAACTTTGCTAGGCCAGCCACATCATCTGGATTTCTGACTCCAGACTCCAAGGCAAGTTTTATTTTCTCAGCTCAGTCAAGGTGTACGCTCAAGAGAAGGACAAAGAAAGTGCTTCAAGGGCATGCTCAAGGCCAACTTGAAAAAATGCACCACTGACATTCATTCGTGGGAGACTATTGCCCAGGAGCACCCCAAATGGAGAAAGTCTGCTGCACAGATCTCAATACTTTGAAACCTTACAATGAGAACAGGAGACAGAAAAGCAGGAGCAGCAGAAACGGTGTGTGGCAGACCGAATCAAGAATCCAGAGCCACCCACCTCGCACAGAAACATGGGCCCAAGCTGCAACAGAGTCTGTTGATCCCAGATTGGCCTCGTCAGCCATTTTTGGACCCACTGATAATGCAATAATGGACAACAATCACCCTTGACTGCAAGGGATTGCTGCTGATGGCGAGCCCTTCGTGCAAAGAAACAGCAAAGTGCAGAACTAAAACCTGAATATTAACCAAAAATATTAAAATGATTAAATGTAGTGAATGATGAAAAAAATTAATCTAAAGAGGCATTGAGAACTACCAGGTCAAGTAGTAACACTACTAAGAAAACAAGTAGAAGTCAACATTACTAACAGGCTTACTAACCCATTTGTAATTCAGAAATGGTTTCTACCAGTGACCAGTCCAAGCTGTAACCACAGTGGGATTTATCCATCAGATTGTCCAGCACTTGTCTCACTGTCTGCCTCTCATCTACCATCATAGTTTTGGAGCTGTCATCAGACATATGGACTCTGATCACCAGCTATAAGCAGAAAAAGAAAAGGGATTAATTTCACATACTCCTTACTGACCCTAGATTACAAGAATAAAATTAAACTCATGTTAACATGTATATGATGTAATCCAAATAATTTTTCCCCCTAAAATAAAAATATCAAGATTCTCACTTCAAAGCACACTTATCAGGCAACCATTTCCCTTTGCATTATGTAAAAGTTATATTCCACTTTTTTTTTTAGCTATATACCAATAAGGAAACTGAGGCCAGATGCCAATAGATACTATCCCGATTGACAAAAAAGCATCCCCACAGAATTAATTCCCATGGAAATTGATGAACTATTCTTTAAAAAATGAAGCCAATGATGAATTATTTCCAATGATGTACCATACAAATACTTATTAAATTTTCTTTTTATTTCAGTTAAAACATACAAGTATGCAAGGCTGTTATATAATTTTCACTTAATTGTACAAGAGATGCATGCATCACAAAGCCATTATTCATAGATTATATTTTTCATCCCTTTAGCATCTTGATTTCCCTGACTTAACTTGTCAGAACCAAGAAAAAACGGTATTTGAAGCAAATATTAGTTTTGGTTTGAAGAATTCAAATATTTGAAAATTCATCTTCATCTCTAGGGTATTTTAGCTTTCCTACTCACTAAAACCCAACACATTCTTAAAGCAGTCTTAGATGCATAGTAGGAACTCTGGTCTTATATCTAACTTAAGGAGTCACAATTGCATGTAAATTAAATACACACATATCACAACAATCTTTCCAAATGAAGGTGGTCAATGCAGACAGATCATATTAGATTTAAAAACTGACATCATAAAAATTGTCACATTCTGCCACATTTTGTGCAAACAGTATCGATTAACTGCTGGAATATCCAAGTTGAAAAATTAAACTGACCTTATTTTAAATTGCTTTATTTAAGGATGGAGCAGGGAAAAAAAGCACTGTTTTCAAAATTCATTTGCCACTGATTTCCCTGCTCTTTCACTAGTATTGTAAAGACAACACTACTGAAGAAAAAAAAATCCACTTTAATTCTATAACTTATATCGAACTAGTAAAACTGAAAGAACTTTATATTTTTCTTTCCAGCAGTTATACTACTTGCTTCCTTTCTTTGCTCCCCATTCAAATGCAAAGTTAAAATAAATGTATTGATTTACTTTTAATTCTTGCACAACAGAAAAGCATCACAGCATTTAAGTACTAAATACAGAATTTAATTTTTTTTTTGTGATTTAAAAGTATTGATAGTCTTCCTATTAGTGCTGAAACATACAGATTTATTTATAATACACATAAATACTGATCCTAAACCACTTGACAATGTTCATAAATGTCAAAACACCATTAACTTTGACATAGCCTGAAGTGAAACATTCAGTTTTCCTCATTTAATATTATTCTGCCTTTTATTAATTATAGACTGTGTCAAGCTGAAAGTTGGAGTACTTGACATACACATATTGAATGAGGAGCTATAAAGAAAAAAAAAAAAGCCAGAATTAACCATGGGGGGAGGGGAAGCCCCTCATCTTCAAATTGCATACGAGGGCGCATACGAGGGCAGTAGAGGGCAGGCAGCTGCTACAGCCTGGGCTTCAGGCCCTACCCAAGATCAGGGCTGTAGTGGCTGCTCCTCCCCAACCCCCATGCTGCCCCTGCACCCCCGCCAGCTTCCCCCTGCAGCTTCTTCCCCCACACAGCCTCTGCTCCCCCCTCCTGCCCTTCTCCCTCCCCCTCCTTACCTTGCTCCCTGCTGGCAGGCTCTGTCCATGTTGCAGCCTGGGGCACACAGCTGCTATGGGGGCTGAGGCTGTGCTCTATGAGGGAGGAGCCTGCCGGCATGGAGCAAAGGTAAAGTGGGGGATGAAGGGGGAGCAGAGGCTGGCGAGAAGGTCAGGAGGAAAAGCAGATGGGGAAGGAAAGGCAGGCACAAGCAGGAGGAAAGCTGTTTGACCTCCCCACACCACCTGCAGCCCCACTGCTTGCCTCCTTGCAGCGGGGGGGAGGAAGGGGAAGGGGGGAGGAGGAGAAACAGAAGGGGAAGGGATACCTGAAGGGGGGGGGGGCAGGCATAAGCAGGGGGCAGGTTTCTTGACCTCCCCGTATCACCTGCATCCCCAGTGCTTGGCCCCCCTGCAGCAGTGGTGGGGCTGAGAGTGAATTAAAGACAACCTTCCAATAATTAGATTCGATATATGAAAAATAATAAAATTATAAATTTTCCATGTATGGAATTGAATTATAGGAGGTCATCTTAAATTTGAATAATACAGTAAATGCAACATTAAGTCCTTTTTATATTATTAAGATAGCTTAATAACTATTATCAAACAGAGATGAGCAGAACTGAACTGAGTTCATTTCCTGATTAAATGAATATTAACTTAGCATCTGGTAAAATAAAATAAATACAGCTCACCTTTTTCACCTGTGCCTCTTTAATCTTCTCTAAAGCAACCCTGATCTTCTCAGCTTTCAGTTTAGCAGCCTGCTCCTCCTGTGGGGACACATCATTCCAGTTAAACAAATGTCAGACTAATTTTAAGGGGTTTGCAATTTCTCATAGTGAGTTTACCATATACTAGAACTTGAAATGAAATATTAGTTACAGATACACTAATGTATAAAGGAACAACCACTGAAAATTAAAACTCTTAAACTATTGTGTTTAAGATGCAAGGACTTCACCTATCTATCCAATATACACATTAGGCACTGTGCCTCTTGACAAAAGACAGTTGTTTTTCTATGCTTTGTGACCCAAAGTTGCATTGCTCCATGACATTTTTTTAGAAACAAAACGGGCCGTATTTGATTTGGATTCAACCCAAATCTGGGACAGTGATTCAATTAGCTGATTCAGATCACTGTCCCAATTCGATGCTGATTTGGAGAATCAGCAATTTGGCTACAGACACAGCTTTAAATGTTTTTCTACATACCTCGAGGTACCAGGTGCAGCTCATGAATGCTCTGATGGTGGGGCGGATGCAGGCCCCCCCCCCCGTGCTCAGTGGCAAACCCAGAAGTGGACTGGAAGTACTTTTGGTCCACTTCCGGATCTGCTGCCAAGTGCAGTCCCCCCCCACAAAAAGCTCGATGATCAGCCACAAGGGGAACCCCCAGACGCCCCCCCAGACCTAGGAGGCACCAGTCACCAAGCCAGAGGGGCACAGGGGAGGGGGTCTCTGCACACTCCCTTGTGGACCCAGAAGTGGACTGGAAGTGCTTCTGGTCCACTTATGGGTCTGCTGCTGAGCACACTGGGGACTCCCCCCACCCCTGCTCCTGTTGGACATTCTATCCACCCCAGCATCTTAGCACTCACAAGCTGCCTGGTACCTTGAGGTATCAAGAATAAACATTTAAAACTGTGCCTATGTCCAAATAATTGAATCTTTCCGAATCAATTTGGAGGGTTCTGATTCAATTCAGAGAGATTAAAGAGTCCTCTGATTTTATTCGGAGATTCAGCCATCAAACAGGGCCAAATCTCCGCTGAATCGAATCAGTGACCGAAGCTTCACATGGCCCTAATATCTATCTATCCATCTAGATCTTTATACAGTTGAACACAATGTTTTATTGATATATTTACAGTTTTAAAGCAATATGGAAACCTACCAGCAATAAAATCACTATAATAAAATAAATTCTAAATACCTATATATTTTGGCATTTGATTTGGGGTTTTTCATCATGGAAAATCAGAGCTCCTGCTAAGACCAGTCTGTACACCCCAGGGAATTATATGCAGAAAAATTCAAAATTATGCACATAAATTCAAAATTATGCACAGGAAAACTCAAAGTTATGCACAATTAATTACATTTATTTTTTTACATATTAAACTAAATATAACACTATTTGAACCTTCCTTAGAAATATATGCAGGTACTTTGTATAGTTGGGGGGTGAGTGTGGGGTGTGTATGTGGAGGGGATTTGTGAAAGTGTGGCAGGATGTATGGGGGGGGTTTGTGGGCAAGTGTGGTGTTTGTGGGGAGGCTGTGAAGTGGTGTGGGGTTTGTGGTACACAGCCCCCACCACTGGCAGCTCAGTAGCAGCAGGGCCTCAGGGTGGTCATGGCCATGAGAGGCGCCCCTGGCTGAATCCCAGGCTCTGCCCCTTCTCTTTCTTCCTCTCCCCGCTCCCCAGGACAGGGTTTAGGGTTTCCTGCCCTTTTTTCAAGAAGTTCTTGCAGGCTAGAACTCTGCCAGCCTTCAGAGAGCTCTTTGCAAAAATGCAAAATCCACATTTTCCTTTGTTAAAATGAAAAATCTGCTTCCCCCCCCCCTCAGTTAAAAGGGAAAATCTGCATTTTTTTCTGTTTTTCTGTGGGAAACAAAAAACCCGGATCCCTGATTATCTTGTATTGTCCATTACTGAACGCTTTAAATTTGTCAAACATATACAACTATCACATCAGCTCAAATCACATTCCCAAACCATGGGCAAGTAAACAGATTCCATAAACTTTCATTTTATCGATGTTAATATCACAATGAGAATTACCAGAATTTAATGTCACAAAAAATGTGTGTGTGTGTGTGTGTGTGGGGGGGGGGGGGGGGGGTGTCCTTTAACCACAATTTCACACTGCCCTATCAATATAGGAAGCTTTTAACATATTAAACCTGTCTGCAATCATTAAATTCTTGGAACACAATCTCTTATCACCATTAAGTCCACACAGCACTTTCCTTATTAAAATAAAAAAGCATTCAGTCACCAAACATTTTGATATTCTTCCTTTGAATAATCTAACTTTGTTACTTGAAATTCCTTAAAAATTTAGTAATTTTAACTCTATTCTAGCATTTTCTTACCCCAAAGAAACTGACATACTTCAATACTATCAATATTTTCTTTTTTCAGCAATAAGCCATGAATAATGCTCTTGGAATAGAGTTGATACGTTCTAATGAAACAAGACCTTTTGCTTGGGACTTCTGCATGTAGGTTACCAATTTCAGAATTCTAAGATCTGGATCATTATAGTGGGAAATATCAAGTACCTCCATCTTGTAGATCATTATGGACTTAAACTAGAAAGCCATACTGTGCAGAGAAAAGCCAGCCTCCTCAAAGAGACTACTTAGATTGTTGTCAGAGGGGTAGCACAATTATTCACAATAACACAAGCTAACACCAACTCTACCAATTTGTTTTTGAGCATTTCATTGTATAAATATAATCCTTGTGTTCCTGCTTTCTAATATTTTGAATGATAGCTGCTTTTTATTTAAATGACAGCGGTTTATCCATCTTCAAAATCTGTGCACAGTTCCACTAAGAATAGCATGGTTATAGGCATTTTCCACTTCTGCGGTGCTACTGTTATATCTCCTGATCCTCTAAAGTGGCTTCTTCCTATATTATTTTGCTTTACTCATGCTTCCTTCATGCTCAGACTATACTACCATACCACACAATGGAGAAAGCAACAGTTGGGAGGGCAACTGACTTGCTTGTGAGAAATATAATCCTTCTCAGTAAAAGGAACTACTATATTGACAAAAGCAGTAATAATGGAGCTTGAAATATGATATGAAAAGTTAATTAGCAAGGAACAATGCTTTTTATTAAGTTAGTAAGAGTTAAGATTCTTTTTTGTTAATGATAAAAAGATGGTATCACATAACTTGGAAAGGTTAAACCAGATTAACATTTTATTTTTAAAAAGGGGGGAAGAAATCAGGCTAAAGATTTTAGCCTGGGAAAATGTTTAATTTTAACAGAAGTATAAAAATCTAGAAATCTAATAAGTTCTTCTTGATCTTAGCTGTTTTCATTTATAAAACACCAAAAAACAAAGAAAAGCTCTATTTAATTTTTGGACGGAAAATGCTCTAAAATAAATTATTTCATGGTTTGGGACTAGTCTTGCCTCTCCTGAATCAAAGAAGAAAGTGGACCTTTTATATATATTATAAACCATCATGCTGACGAGCTATGCATTTTACAGTTTTTAAAAGGGTGCCCTTAAAGACAGTCATAAGCCTTATTTTCTGTACAGGGGTTGGAAATGCATCGATTTATCTTCCCCTAAGTTAAATGGCCCAAATTTCTACTCTCTTTCACTTTGCACCTGTTCACAGTGAGTGTTTAACAGCACCAAATCAAAGTGGTAGAATTTCACACTCATTTTTGCACAGGTGTACATAACTACATAAAGTGCTAAACAGGGTGGGTTTCGTTTAAATCAAATCAATTTAAATCACTGCTCAGGAAGCCTCCATTTATTCACTGTTTTTTACAAAACGTGCATTCTTGTTGTTTGATATAAATGTAATACATATTATTCACAATTCAGAGATAGATGTAGGTTTCATTATTAGAAGGTGCACACTATACATTTTAAAGCAGTAATTTATTTTGAGATTTTTTTCAGATTAATTTTGCAGCTACATCAGAAGACTGAATTATGATTTGGTTATTTTATTTACCAAAGCTAACTGAAACATACTTGTAAAGTCACTGGGAGGTGAACTATTTCCAATTCACTAAATTAATCATGGATATTTGGAGGATATTTTTCCCATGCTGTATTAGGCAGACACCAAATGATCGCTGTAGCCATATTATTAGCTTGGGGCTTTCTTCACTTCCTTCTAGATTTCTTCTCATCTTTGATTTCTTCTCTCTCTCTCTCATGGCCTGGCAAGCCTGCTGCTAGAATGGGCTTTCCCTTCTACCATACAATTCCCTTGCTAGATCTGAAATCAATGGAGAGGCTATACTCAAACATATCCCTCAAGACTTCTAGAGTATTCTGCTCAAAAAGTTTCTCCTTCGTTTCTATTGCCCCATGCTCCTTGCATTTATCTCCAGACTCCTATTCCATCCCCAACAATCCTCTATTCATTTAACTTCTTGAAAATTTGCACTTTTAGAAAGAGGTAAGGGCTTGACTCTGCGTACACGAAGTTGCAGAGAGCAAGTGGGCTGATGGGTAGGTAATCAGGTCAGTTATCTCTCATCTGCATATAGTGCTGTTAACAAGGATGTTATCTCTGCAGATACAAGTCCAGTTTGAGAACTGAAACCAATCATCACAGAGATTTTCATAGATTGCATAGACATTAGGGCTGGAAGGGACCTCGTAAGATCATTGGGTCCAGCCCCTAGCCCAAAGGGCAAGAAGTCAGCTAGGGTCAGTGGATCCCAGCAAGATAAGAATCCAAATGTTTCTTAAAAGTGTCCAGAGTAGGTGCTTGCACTACCTCTGGCGGGAGTCCATTCCAGGCCTTAGGGGCTCAGACAGTAAAGAAGTTTTTCCTTATGTCCAGTCTAAAATGGTCTTGGAGGAGTATGTGACCATTTGACCTTGTCATCCTTTGGGGTGCTCTGGTGAACAGGTGTTCCCTCAGATCCTGATGCACACCCCTTATGTACTTATAGGCTGCCACTAAGTGACCCCTAAGCCTGCGCTCCTCCAGGCTGAAGAGTCCCACGGCTCGCAGCCTCTCTTCATAAGGCCTGTTCTCTTGCACTC